TCATCTTCTTTTCAAGCTCCTTAGACTACCATGAATAAGAACCTCCACAGAGATGTGGAGGAGTTCCTGTCTATGTTCTCCCTTGGATCTTCAGCTTTCCTCCACAGTCCAGACACATGCCTGATAGATTAATTTGTGTTTCCATATTGGCCATAGATGTGAATGATTGTTCCTCTCTTTGTGCTAACTCTCAGATCCCCTGTGGAGGTGACCCCACCTCTCTTCCTGTGACAGCTAAACGTACCCTAAATTGGTTAAGCTGTAAAGAAAATGGATGGCAAAAACACACCAGCGGGTCGAGACAGCCGTCTCCTTCTCTAAGTAATCACTATCATCCAGCTGCTCTTTGTCTGTTACTATGGCAACCTGAGATCATGGCAGAGGAAACAATTATGGGCTGGTAGACTCACACACAGTGCGGCAGTGTATGTGTATGTGAGAACATCCACATGTGGTCAGCCAGATGTAGTATTGAGCAGGTCAAAGAAATCAGGAAACAAAGCCCAGCCTTGACATTTTTGTCCTGCCGTGTTCACACATGATGTGGCCCAACTATCATCACATCTCACGGCTGTGGCACAGCTGAAGACCTGGAGGTGAGAACATGGTCATCACAAACATGATTTCTGAGTGGCGACTCCACCCATGCCAGTACTGACACAAAGAACAGGTCTGAGTCTGAGACGCTGATATACAGTCACTGACCTGAGTCCAGCTGGCCTCTTTCTTTTCCTTCTCCTCCACCTCACACCTGTCAAACCAGTTTGACCGCAAAGGTGTACTTTCCGCTTGTTGTGTCCAGGTGAGACAGGTGACATTGTCTATGTGCTGAGCTATTTTAAAGATAGTGTAGCTCCTAAATTAGATAACTCCTAGTTAATGCCCACTCTTACTACACTATTACTGCATTAAACCAAAGTCCTAGTTATTTTGAGGCATCATCTATATTACCTTTAATAAAGGACATAACGCCTGAATGTAAAGAATCACCAGAAAAACCCGATAAAAAAGTCTTCCACAGATTTAGGGCCACATCGCTGCTGAACTTTGGTGCAGCACTGACACCTGTTGCTTTTTTTGATGTGGCAGCAGCAGAACATTAAAACAGCTCATTTATTCAACTTTTTGTTTTTCTGGTAAAAATCCAATTATATCAAACATTGATATTTTTATTAACCCTTCAGAGCCCATAAACCCCAGAGGTAATAAAAGAAATCCCCCCTGAGATTTCAGATATTTGTCTTTGTCAGCAGGTGGTTTCTGCCTATCTAGTACTGACCATAACAAGAATTTAGAGGAAAAGGGGGTGGGACTCATTTCAGTTCAATTTTATTTATATAGCGCCAAATCACAACAACAGTCACCTCAAGGTG